GTGGTAGCGGTTGCGATTTGTGTTGATGTCATAAAAAGGTTTTAATTGTTGTGATTGATTGTAGGACAAAGGAAAAGAGGGGGAGTGACAGCCCTATGGCAGTCCGAAAATTGAGGGCGAAAAAAAATCTGAGGGCGAAGGGCGAGGCCCGCCTACGCCAAGGATTCGGTGGACAAAGCTGGGTGGCGGCAAGCGCTGCAATTCAGGGAGGTTTAGTGGTGATAGTTAGCGGTAAAACAGTTATTTTTGCCGCCCTGTGTTTGGGAGGCTGGTGCCTCGAAAACATTTGGTCCCGTAGTTCAATGGATAGAATAGAAGTTTCCTAAACTTTTGATACAGGTTCGATTCCTGTCGGGACTACCTAAGTCTTCCGTTTGATAGGTTTCGTTTGTTGATGAATTTGCGAATGTAAAAACTCAACATGCGTCAAATTGAGCGTCAAGTGCCATCGAAACGAAATACTTAAGAGTAAAGATTACACACTTAATCTAAGTAATCAGCCTCTTGCTCTTTTGAGTTAATTTTTAAAGCCGAAAATAACGCTTTGTGAACATAAATCTTTGAATTATTATTGAAATCGGAAGCTCTAATGGTTACCTCACTATCATAAAAAAATTCAGTTTTAAGCTCAGGTTTCCTTTTAATTCCTATTATTCCTATTCTATAAAAAATAAAAAGAAGTTCTGAAAGAAATTCATTAAAATCATTCGGTTTTAGTTTCGAACTTTTCCATTTGTCAATTATTTGCATTAGCTCGCCCTTGGTTGAATTTCTTATGTCTGGTTCTAATAGAACATCCGCAAAAGATTCTTCTTTTATATTGTAGGTGTTGAACCCGTTATATATTCCGAATAAAAAGCCATATAATTTCGAAATGTCTCCGTAGTTTTCAGCCCACTCATCCTCTAACGCATGCAGCCTTTCAATTGAATAAGATGTTTCTGCTTGTTTAATTAAACTATTTGTAAAGTGAGTTTTATTATTTGACACCTCGATAGTTTTATTAAAAAACGAAATAATGTCTCTAGGTCTTAAATAAGTCCTCTCTATCATATAATCAAACCCAGAAATACCTGCCTTGCCAGATTTAGCAAAGGCATTTGCAACATTAAGTTGTTCATCTGTAAGAAGTTTGATTCTTGAATCAACAAGTTGCTTAAGGGCATAATTATCCCAAGCAAGATTGAGAAAAAGTGGCGAATATTTTTCCCTTTGGCCACCTCTATGTTCTTTACCCGAAAATATTATTTGGTGAAGATTATCTCTTAGTGCTATGATAATCTTAACTCCTTTAAATTTCTCTTGAAATTCTTTCACGACTTCAACCATTGCTCCAATCAAATCATAAACAATTTGCGGCGATACCCAATCTTTATCAAGGTCATCAATAACAATATAGAATCTTTTCTGACTAGTGTTAAAAACATTTGTTGATAAAATTTCAATCAAATTTATCAAGTCATCAGCTTGAACATCGTTAATAATTTGCTCTGCTTTGTATTTAATTTCAGATGTATTTTTTTCACCTATTGAAGATATTTTATTTACACCAGCATTAAAATATTTTGAATCGATGCCGATTTCTGAACAGAATTTCTTTTCCAAATCTTGCTCAAGAGTTTTAATCCTGTGCTCAGTTTTCTGCCAAAATTCATCTGACCATTTATCGAAGTACTCAAGAGCTGTCCT